GGGGGGGGATGTTTTTTGCTGCAGGGTAAAAAAAGTTGTCCCGAGATCTCGCTTCGCCCATTAACTTACTGCATTTTAGCCAGTCCACCTTGAGGAGGAGGAGGAGGCGACCTTGAGGAGGGGAGGAGAGGGAAGCATTAGTGAGTTGGGCACAGGTGTGCGTAGGAAGGGAATTCAAATGGTAGTAGCCGGTCCATTCATACACAATTTGCCAATCCCCTAACCCTAACCATTTACTGTGGATAACATTTCATCACTTCTTTCAATGCTCTCCTCTTCTCTTCTCTTTCAGCTGGCAGTGGCCTTCTATTTGATTTGGTCTCTGCCGTTCTTCACTCTCCTCATCGCCAGACTCTTTGGTCGAACATATATCTGCAAGTTTTGAGTTCTTTTTCTTCTTCAACTTTTTATTTTAATGATCTATCATATCTGTTGGTAAGGCGATATCTATTTATGAAATTAATTTGCCGCTACACTTCTCCATGAGGCTGGAAATTGATGAAAAGCGGTAACCCCTCGTGGGTACTTTCCCTTCTTTTGGAAACCTTCCACACTGCTTCAAGATTCTTTGGCTTTTTGTAGTGTTCCGATCGTTTTTTTCTCTCCCTCTTTAAAGGCAAACATCATGCGCTTGTCAGCGGCATTTATTTGATGGATTTGACGCCTGCACTCCAATTTTTATTTGATGTTCTTTTTAGTCGGTCGAGTTTGTGCGGATTTCTGCCAACTGGAGGGTCTTCGAGAATTGGCTGATGATGATGTTCTCTTCATAAGTCTCATGTCCTATCTCACTTATCTCATTTTCGGTAAGCCAAGTCTGCAACGGATGTGACGAAAAAATATATACTTTTTTGATTTTTCAATCTTTTGTATCTTGGCTTATTTGTTTTAAATGATTAAATCAAGTCTATTTATTTCAAATAAAGTTATTTCGAGTCTATTGGTGCGTGCATTTCACCATAGTGGAATGTAGTTTTTTTTTATTTTTTTTCGATTGTCGTCGTCGCATTTAGTGGGAGCATTTTCGCCCTTCGGTTGCTCCAAAGTGGACCACTTCTCACTGTCGCTATGACCTTGACAAGGTCATTCGCTCCCTTTTATCTGCCCAGACCCCACGATCCCACTTATAATGGCTTCACTAATTTGCTATAAACATACATATATACTGTGTTTATGTTGTGGGTTGAACGTTAAATAAGTAGTATCCTCAAAGGCAAATTAATAGTACTTTCACAAAAGACTCGTTGGATGGTTTCGTTTATAAAAAATGGAATGTCGGCGGCCAAAAAATCGAAGGTTTGTCTTAACACTACTACCTAAATCGTGTGCAAAATACAGAATTTGTAGCCCTGAAGAGGCATATTTGTGTGAAAGTTGCTCTAGGCTACCTTAGGTGCTTCATAAAACTACTTTTGGCAGTTGAAGTCCTCTCGATTCCCCTAATAGTGTCGCCTTTTTCTTCGCATTCAACTTTCTAAGAGTTATCTTTTGTGAAATAATAAGCCTTTTGTGCATTCTTTACCATTTGACTTGCACGATTTCCATTTGTAGGTCCAATCTTCATGGGTTACCTTCTAGAGGAAAGTTTCGGACTCGTCTTCACCTTCGGTGTTTACATTCACAACGCTTTCATCCCTGAGGGAACAACATACCTTGTCGAAATTATTCAAGTATGTCAATAATTTCCTGATATCTTTTTTGATTATAAATCACTCGAATGCATTGCATTTATTTGCCATTTTCAGCAAATCATCTTTACATATCCTCTCCTTGCTCTTCTAATCTTGCGAATGCGTGCCAGACGCTTGTGTCAAGGAGCATGTTTTCGGTGTCGATTTTGTTACAAGTCGTGTTTGGAGTCTTTTGGAATTGGTCTTCTTATTGCTCTCCAACTGGCTTTCTCGATTTTCGAAGTTCTCTTACCCTATGGTTGGGTAGCATTCCTTCTATCCCCAGGTCGTCTTTGGCTGCTCGCTCTCGCATTGAGTCTCTTTTTCTACTCCGGTCGGAAAGTCGCAACACGAAGAGAAAGAGAGATTATGGGTTCGTTGGTCAAGAGCAACATCAATGCGACTGAAGATTAAAGAATTCACCTATTATCTTTTCCTTCATTGAGAAACGCCCGAGTAGATTCAATAAATAAATATATTTGTCACAATTATCTTTCCACAAAAGTGCACTGCAAATTTAAGGTTCTCCGTGATCTTGAGAGACACCAATTTAGGGAAGCTGTTAACATTTTAATGGGGGCAGATTCCTTGTTTATTGTTTGCAATTCCTAACAAGAATTTGACTCCAATTTTCCGATAGGCATTAATTTTGCAAAAAATAGGGGCGGCTGAAGCCCAATATGATGGAGTGGTTTCCACGATGTTGAAATTAAGTACGAGATAAACGCTTTGATGTGTCTTTCGAGAAAGAGCATCTGTAAGTAGCAGTGGCTAAGCAATAGAGCAAACATGGTTGGGCCGTGGGCCGTTTTTTCAATCAAGTTTCCATTCCATGTCATAATATATGTGTATATCTGTCTGTATGTTTATACTATGATAGATAAAGGATTTATAGTGAATGTGTCTATTTCAGAAACAAATAAGGTTAAAAATGTTAATATGACGTCTAAATGTTATTACTTTGAGGAGAGTCACAAAAAATGAAATGCCTTTGGCTGCAAAGTTTATTAATAAAAAGTTCTGATAAATTTAAGACGAGTATATTTGAAAACAATGTAAAAAAAATTGAAGAGAAAGTAATCAATTCATCCAAGGCTGTTACCTCAACTGTTCCCATATTCCCCGTTTCGAAAAATTATTGGAAAAAGTCATAAATATCATTCATAATGCAACCCCGTAGAATGCGCAAGGAATATTTTAGCCTATCATTAGAATCCATCGCGATTAAAATGATGAATAATCAGCTTTATTGCTTCATGGATAGATTATCGTTTAGTATATTTTTAGTTAAATAGTGGTTTATTTATACCTTGGTATTAGAAAAGAAATATAATTCAAATGAATAATAATAGCTTCAGTGAGTATTTAAAAATCCAGTCAGTGACAAGGCTTTAATAATTACCTTAAAATAGCCTTTATAATTATCATCTAGAAAGCTTAACCTCTATTCTTTGAATATAATGAAAAAAAAGCAAATGCAAAGGGGAACCAATCAAAAGTTAGGTTAAAAAATTTTTTAGCCTTTATTTTTGTTAAACTAGCCCTAAGTTGCATTTAAAGGTCATATATGACTTCGGTGTGGAACCCGCTTGACTGGCTGGCAGAGTCTCTAGCATTGAGATTTAATAGCGATCTGCCAAGTTTACGATTTTTCCTAACGATATGCTTCGGTATCACACTTCATTTATTATTTGACACTTCTTAGGTTATCCGATTTCGGCTTTTTATTTAGGATTTATAAGTAAAAAACCCCCCCGTGCAACTCATATCTATTTTTTTATAACTGGGTTTATATTGCTGCTCTGGAATTATGGTAACTCATTTATTTTTCATATTTACGAATTAGGCTTGAGTGTTGTTCATCTTTTTATCGGTGTTTACTCAACACTTGCTACTCTTCATATATTTGGTCCGACAAATCTATCCGTTGCTCTCACATTTGTATTTAACATGGTACGTTGTTATTATTTTGGTGGATTTTTTCTAGACTTATCTTCTTGTTGGCTATTATTACATGAACTATGGCACATATGATATCAATTGGACCATGTCTTATTGCATTCTTTGTCTCCGCTTAATTGGAATTGCATGGGATTTTCGAGACGGGAGTCTTCCTATCGAGAACCTTTCAGAATATCAGAAAAATGCCGCAATCAAACGATTACCGGATCCGCTTGAAATTGCCTCCTTCTGTTTTATGCCCACTTCATGTTTTGCAGGGCCACAGGTATGTTAATTGCCTCCATCGATCTTAACTCTCTGTAGTTTACATGGCGTCATTATCAGTCCTTCGTAAACCGCACGCTTCGTCCAAAAATTGTCTTACAGAACCGTTCCTCGTTGCAAAAGCACTTGCTCAATCCAAAGTGACCCCTCTTTACACTCTCTAATTTTTTTCCCCAGGTTGCATCGAACTCTCTCTCGATTATCATCTGGTTTCATTTGTTTGGCGATTAATATTATTTCTCAAACTTATTTTCCCATGGAGTACATGACTACTAAGAAATTCCTAACAGTGAGTTTTGATTATCCCGTTCACTATTCCCATATTCGGTCCATATTTATTTATTTTCTACTCTTCTTCTAAATTAGGAGCATTCGTTCTTCTATCGACTGGGCTATATGGGCTGCTACTCCAAATGTCTCATTTTTCGGTACCTCGCAATCTGGCTTATTGGGGTAGGTCTTTGAGCTTCTATTTTCCTTTTTTACGCTTTTTCTTTATTTCTCATTCATTTCATCCTCTTCTATGTTATTTTAATTAATCGGGCAAATAATTAGGTGGCAACTTGCTTTTTTGACATTTTGACAGTTTATTTCCCTTCCCCATAACAAAGCCCTACTCTCTATTCCCTCATATATCAGGCCTACTCCATTTTTCTGCTATCATGTTTGGAGCTATCATCGAATTTTTGCAGCTTATTTGCTTTAAGGAATTTTATTGTAACTCTCCTCTTTATGCAATGGGATAGTTGCGTTTTTTAAAGTGGTCTTTCTCATAACGTTTTAACTTTTAGCTGAATTGGAAGAACACAGTTATTCTGCATAATTGATTTGTACTCTGTTAATTTTGTTTGCTATTTGGCAGAATGAAATTGGCATTCTCCCAACCTTCATGCATCAACGACTTCGCGACTTCTGATTTTGTTGGCACACGCACACACACAAAATCTGAGATGCTTCAATTTGTGCTTGTCAGCCTCTTAAAGATCACTTTGAATGAGTCCTTGTGTTTGTGTAGGGCCCTTAATTAGTCGTCTTTCTACCTGATGTGAGAAGATACAAGTGCGTAAATTTTCCTTTGTGGACCTATGTTTATTAATTACTCTCACTATTTCTCCAATTCGATATCATTTTTGTTAAACTTAAGAAACTGAGCGTTTGATATCATAAGCAGTGGACTTTTCTCCTGTACTTACACTTATTCATGCTTATTTTGAGCCACAAGTGTACTAACTTCGTGCTTTTTCTTCTGTGTGGAGCTTTTTTAGGTGTGAAGCTGATGCTGATTAATTCGTCTCCCATGACAACTGTTTTGAAACAATGGAGCTTTAAAAGAGCTCTATTAACAACCAAAACTTTCCTTTTTTAATTCAAAGGAGATACACATTAGTGCATTCTCCTTTATTCTTCCAGAATTTACCTCTCGACCTTAGTCTTTCCTAATGTTTTCAATTTTTTGTTGGTACATTTTCACATCAGCTTGTCTTGTGCCTTGCATTACACTTCGCAGTGAATTCCATTTCCACAATGATCGTACGGAAGGAGGCTGTTTGGTTGCCATCAAGTACCGTTTGCAGTTGATTGTTGCCTAATTTCTCTCAATCATTGCTCCCACTTTGTAAATTAAATTGGACTCGTAAAAAGAACATCTCATGTGAAATTGTAAACTATTTTTCATAATTACACCAACGTGCTTCTCGTTAAGGTGAAATTAAGGGTGTTGCATAAACTGTGTTAGCAATGTCAATGTCAAACCCTTGGGTCTGAAATAGCTGAACTCGACTCTATTCACCTCATCTGCTTGTAGGGCTCAATGTTCACAAAAAAAAAGAATGCAAACAGTGCGGGGGAGGGTTTGAATACCCCTGTTAGCAACAAAGAAGAAGAAGCTATGCCTTTGGAGTTGTTTTTGCTTCATAATATTAACAAATATCCATTTGGATTAAAAAAGGCGAAATTAATGAACATGGAGGAAGTATGTTTGGCCATTATAGATTTTACCATTGGTGTGTTCATAAAACTCCCAGTGGGGGGGGCCTGTTTTTCAATTTGGAGGATTTGGATAAACCTGCCAACTTATAAAAAATATTTTTGCTATTTATTTTAGGAGGGAGCTTGTGTATTATTAGGTCTAGGCTGCACTGGTCGAGTTCGAATCGAGTACACTGAGAAAAAAGAGGAGGCGAAGGTGGAGGAGGAGGACGTGAAGAAGAAGAGGAATAATAATAATGGTAAGGAGGAGGTGAACGCTGCTAATACACTGCGTAAAGTGGCAGTGCTGAGCAGCAACGCTGGGGCTGGATTTCGTCTGGAGTCAGAACTGTGCCCTGAGGACTTCCAAGCACTGCAAGAGGGTCGAGCCACCCTAGTGGAGGAGCAGCATATTCGATGCGCCAACGTTTCTATCGTCCGCTACGAACTCGCGACCAACACCGATCTCCTTGTCTCCTCTTTCAATATCAATACCAACAAGTGGATGCTTGAGTAGGTCTTTTTTCTTGTTTTTTTTACAATCTTGACAAAGAGAGTAGTGGGCTTTAGTTTTCATTATTGATAATTGGTGTCTGGATGTGAATCTCTTGGCCTACTGCTCTTCCTTCGATGATGGTAACGATGAGAGAAAGTTGGGTCAGAACGCAAGTGTTAGTCAACTTTCGTGACGATCATTAGACGGAAAGAGATGAAAGAGCAAGATAGCTGAGTGAATTTGCCGGGGATACTCCTAATAGGCCTCGCTAAGTTTTGGTTGTTTATGGCTTCGAGGGAAGGAGAAAGCGACTGTTGTGACATGTAACAGCTATCTTCTAAAATATCTCAAGACAGATGAAATCTGAAGGGATCTATTGGGAGAAATGGGGAGGATACAACAGCCGTGGAAACAATGTGTGGGGGGCAATGTCGCACACCTTGAAAAAAAGTGAAAACTCGATGAACGAATGAGAAGATCTCAACTCGCACCCACACACGCACGCACGCACCTCTTCTCTTTACTCAAGTCCTCATCTGGGTTAATGCAATACACCCTTGCTACCATGCTCAACTTTTTTTCTGCTGTTTTCTGTCCTCTGCTAGCTATAAGTTCCACCTCCCAGTTTGTTGGCTCCGTGTTTGTTACGTTCAACCATGGTTTATCCCAGCTCATCTGTGTATCCGGCCCTTGTAGGTATTAAGTCGACAATAATAATAACGATAATCATGTTCTTCAACCCTCACTTTAAGATGGTGTTTCGTCTACTGCGAATTTGGCAAGAGTTGGTGTTCTGGTTCCGATAGCAGTTTGTATCCTTTAGAAGTGGTAAATATCTTTTGCATTTTCTCACCAATTTCACAGATGTGCGTGAAATCATTTGCAGAGAAAATGCATAGCGCTCCAGTGACTTTCTATGGTTCTACTCTTTATCTCTCCTTTTTGCACAAATAAAAAAAATCAGCCAAAAAAAGATTGAACTTTTACCAATTCAAAAGTATTCACTCCTTTACTTTATGCCATTTAAACATAGATGCTATTTGGAGGTGGGGTAGGATAGCAAGAGTCGATGCATGGCAAGTCAGGAAATGTCGTTCTGGAAGCCCAAGTCTCCACTCCCCTTTTATTTCCTCTGCACTCTAAGAACTCCACATCTTGAAATTCGTGAAGTCCCTGTTGGCGCTTCGCTTCGTAAATAATGCCGTAGTGTTTCCACTGGTCAACGGTTCTCGTTAATTTCCCCCAATGCACTGTCGAGGTTGTTAATTATCTGTCGAAGCCCTATTGGGACGCGTTAACTGTGCTTTTGTTTGCCAATGAAATATCAGTTAATGAACTTGAGTACTAGCTGCATACTTTGTGACTCATCTCCCACTTCTTTCATTTTTGCTGAGAGGACGAACTCTGGGTGCACTCGGAGACATGAATGGTCGATGTTCACCCTTTCTCCCACTGTTGTACTCTGTGAGTGAACAGAGGTGCATTGAGTAGATAGCGGGGTACCAATGTGGCTACCTTAAGGAGGCCACTTGCAATTTGCGCTCTAAGGCGGGGGGGGGGGGGGGGGGGGGGGGGGGGGGGGGCCCGGCA